TCCACGATTTCACTACTATGGAGCAGAAGGCCCCGCACTGAACATGTACGACATAACTGGATCAGCACATTCGGGGATTATCCAGTGCCTAAAGTCCACCAAACCTTACGCAGGTTTTGACCCGGATATGATAAGGTTTGAAGAATTCGCGGATGCACCGACACCGGATGGAACCGCGAGGGAAGCCTCAGAAGCAGAACCACCACATGATGATGGACGGTTTTCTACGATGTATGAGGAGTCGGAGGCCGATTTTGAGTCACATGTCATGGAAGTGTGGTATGCAGAACTCAACACGAAAACGAGCTGCTGGAGAAAACTCCACCAGAGGACTCTTTTACAATACCCACACACATGGTTCCAGACCAGAGTGTGCTGATCACTGTAGCTGATGAACAGCGGGGACACCTGCCTAAGTGGGGGCGCACACGCGACTCCGATATCCAGGAGACGTATCAGGTCCCAATGTGTTCCGTGGTCGAAGACTGCAGCTACGGACTGGACTCAGACGAAAATCGACAGCATGTAGAACTCTGCTTCGCGGCAGAAATGTCAAAGGTAGTCCTGTCCGAACAACAGCGCATGATGCTAGATGCCGACCGTATGACCACTATGCGAGTATATGTTACCGCCGCTGCAAGGCGAGCTGTGGTCGTCAAGGAAGACGACCTCCTCGCGAAAGCTGGCATCCAGACGAATCCCGAGAAAGTACCGAAGGCCCTTTGCACTGACTCCAAGACATGGTTTGACAATACGTGTTTCAAAATGCAAGACATATCTAAAGCGTCAAACATCATCACTTCGAGGTACGTGTGCAAATCGAAGTTTGTGAAGCACGAAAAGGGCGAGATGGAACGCACCATCAGATTGCGCCTGGTATTCCGAGGCCCCATGGACCTTGAAGCCTTCGGCGCAGAAACCGTTCTCGGGAACAGCGCGGCGGTCAAGCCACAGACTACTCGCTAGCACGGCCGCGCGCAAGAAGCAATGGGCCATTGCTTCCCTCGACATCAACATGGCTTTCCTGAAAGGGCTGGTTTATCAGGAGGCTGAGGCAACTGGTGAAAAAGAACGCGTGGTGTGCTTTACGTTGCCGCCTGGATCGGCCACGGTGCTTCGGGCTCTCCCAGGATTCGAACACTACGACGAGTCAAAGCATTGCTAGCAGTGCTTGAAGCCAGGCGCTGGTGCCAAAGATGCACCGCGAGCTTTCTCACTAAAGCCCAGAAGGGCCACGCGAGGTTTTGGTCTCCGCCCCACGTCGTACGACGAGGATTTCGAGACGAGCAGCGACCTTCTTACGGCCAAACATGTTGATGATATCAACATGGCCGGCACTGAGGACACCATTGACATGCATGTCAAGCGCGTAGAAGACATTGTTGGCAAGTGTAAACTCCACAAGTACACGTGCACCAACTGTGTTGCGATATATACAAAGGATGAGGACGGCAATGTTACTTTGGACCAAGACGAATGCATAAGCAGCCCCGTCCTATAAAACATACTGAACTTACTGGCGCCGGCGCTGGCGCTCAGGCATTCATGATGGTTGCAGACATGTTCGTCAGCCTCAGGGGTGCGCCGGCGTGCGCACTAATCACCCAGGTGTGGTGACTGGTGCACGTTGCATCGCTACAACGTGTCCAAGAACCGACCAATATTCAAGTACGACGACTGAACGCGATGACCAGGAAGCTCCTGGCCTGCCCCAAGAAGATCGCCTATCAGGCGATGACCCCCACGGGCGAGGTTGGCCTGCGCAGTGACTCAGGATACCGACGCCTGAGTGGAGACGCCGAGGACGACGTCAGAGGCTATGGTGCTCGCGGGGCAAACCTGCCACGGCGCGGAAACACGCCATCCCGTAAACTTGTCGTCCACTTGATGGATGCGCGCTGCAAGTCTCACCGCCTGCAGGTCCGCTCGAGTTTATCCACCAGAGACACTAGCAGCAGCCCATAACTTAGAGGATTGTTATCCCACGGTTGTAACTCCGCACGAGCTCCACGCATGGCCGCTCACGCCCAGACCGTAGATGTTGAGTATGTTGTAAGTCATTGTCAAGCAAGGATTTGAAGAAGCCGGCTGGGTGTACCCTTTAAGGACACCTCAGTTGGATATGACAGATGATGGATGATGGAGCGTGGGATCGTGCACAGTATTCAGTGGTGCGACACCCGCGATATGACTGCGGACGGTCACACCAAGGGGAGTATCGACAGAGAGATGCTCCTCCAGGTCATGGGAGGTATACAAGCCTTCAAGCATGACCTAAAGACTCATACCCCCTATCGGGCCGGCCAGGCATCAGGTTCTGCAGCCGCCTCCTAAGGAGTATCTTTAAGTACCAGGACGGTACAGGCAAGGAAACTTGCGTGCGGTTCTACCTTCCATATGGCCCGCCCTTTTGCTGCCTTTTGTACATATGAGTTGCTGTGCCAGCTGTACAGGGGCGGCGGACTCACGCTTCGTCTCCCTCCCCCCCCGTCTCTAAAGCATGCTGAGGGACGTAAGGAGCGGAAGCGAGCGTGCGCCCGCGGCCGCGTCGGCTCAAGCGGCCGGCCGCCCAGATATGATTGTGCCTCATCGTGAGGCATGCGATTCGCCATCGAAACCAAAAGGACCTTCCTACTGCTAAACATGGTACGCCCTTTACCACTGGGACGATCGTTACCACGATACAACAGAGCTGGGGCTGCGCTTCGCCTAGGGCGAAGCTGCTGGTTGGGCCTCCCAGCCCCTTTCAAACTCGATCTTCATCCCGGACCTTCGGTGGTGGTCACGGGCACCGAAAACGGTTCCTGGAGGCTGAATTCGAGGAGATGCTTCGGGTGGTCGAATGGGCCCACGAAAATATGTGAGACATCGACGATGACGGCGAATTTTGTTTTATTTGTTTCGTGTTCCCCCTCTTCCTCCTCCTCTTCCTTCTCCTCCTCGTCTTCTTCTTCTCGATCGAGGTAGATGCCCGCGGCAGTTCCGGCCGCCTTTCCAGAGATTTTTGTTTGAATGCAGTTTTTGTTGTTGACATTTAAGTTTCGGTCTCCGGGGGCCGTTGCTGGGCCCCGGGATTTTCAATGCCGGACGGACCTGGGGCGAGAAAGTGCGTGAGCGGACCCGGGGAGAGGCTCGGGGAACGAATTTGTGCAGAGTGGCCCGGTTGGGTTGGGGGGGTCCGGGCCTCTCCCCTGTCGCCGCGGCTGGATGCATTTGGGAAAACGATTGCGAAGGATCCCAGGAAGGGTCCGGGGGGCCCATGGCGAAAGATTTCTGCGCGGGGAAAAGAGCATATTTTTGCTGCAGGGTCTTAGTCTGGGAGCCCTCTTGGAGGCGTATAAGGGGTTTCCTTGACTTGATTTGGGGGCTTCTTGGGTTGCTGTGGGCCTCGTGAAAGGCCAAAGAGCGAACGTGCTAAACTTGGACGTTTCCCTTAGGCAACGGGCCGACTCGACGTTTGCTTGTGGAGGGCCTCTTGGGCCGCGCCTTAGTGACAAGACCTGGTGGCGCGCTGGGCGCGCAAGGGGTCTCAGGGGCCGCGCGGAAGGCCAAGAGGCGAACGTGTTGGAAACATGTGCTTTCCATCGGGAATGGGACGGTTATTGCTTCTGGAAGGTTTCTTGGGACGCCTTTGCCTAGCGTCGTGAGGCGTCTTGGGGACCTGTAAGGCTTTTGGGGCACAGTTCAACGACGTGGGCCGACCAGGAGGCCTTTTAAGAACCTCTTGGCCCGTCTTTGGGCCCTCTTGGGACCGTCCTGCGGCACTCCAGGGCCGTTGCTATGGTTTCTGGGGCCTTCGTGGGGCGCCCGGAGGCTGACTTGGAACCCTCTCGAAAGCATCTGGGGCTGCAGGGGGTCGATGTTGGATGCTTTTTGGGCCGCTGTAGGCCTCGTGGAAGCCCAAAAGGCGAATGTGCCGAACATGTATGTTTCTTTTGGCATTTTATACATGTTTTGCTTGTGGGGGCATTCGTGGAACTCCTCGTAGCAGTTTTTTCAAGCGCTTCGGGAGCCTATGGGGAATCGTCTGCAGGCAAGCTGGGGCGGTTTGGACCGAATCGTCCCCCTCGTGGGCCGTCCAGAAGGCCTTTGGGGACCCTCTTGGCCCGTTGTGGGGCTCTAGTGGGGCCGTCCTGCGACTGTCCTGGGCCGTTGCTGTGGTTTGGGGGGCCTTCTTGGTGCGCGATCGGAAGCCGTCGTGGAGCCTTTCTGAGAGCCTCTTGGGGTGTCGGTGGTCGAACTTGGAGGTGTACTGGGCCGTTGCAGGCCTCGTGGAAACCCAAGAAGCGAATATACAGAAAAATGATGCTTTCCCTAGGGAATGGGACGATCTTAGCTTCTGGAGGCCCTCTTGGAGCGCGTCGTGGACGCGTTTCCAAACGTCTTGAGAGCTTCTGGGGCCGTCTGGAGGCAATCTTGGGCGGTTTGGACCGAATCGTCCCCCGCGTGGGCCGTCTGGGCAGCCTTTGAGGACCCTGTTGACCAGTTTGGGAGCCCTGTTGAGACCTTCCTGCGGCTCTCCCGGGCCGTTGCTATGGTTTCTGGAGCCTTCGTGGATCGCATGGAAGCCGTCGTGGAGCCTTTTTGGGAGCCTCTTGGGCTGCGGAGAGTCGATCTTGGAGGCTTCTTGGGCCGTTGCGGGCCGCGTGGAAGCCCAAAAGGCGAATGTGCTGAGAATGTACGTTTCCCCGGGGAATGGGGCGATTTTTGCTTCTGGAGGGCCTTCGTGGGGCGCCCCGTAGTACTTTTTCAAGAGTCTTGGGGGTTGATGGGGCCGTCTGGAGGCAATCTTCGGCGTTTTGGAGCAATCTTTCGTCGAGTCGTAGCTCTCTTAGACCGTTCCCGGACCCTTTTGCACCTTTTTGGTCTGTTTTGGGGCCTCCTGGGGCCCTAAGTACGCGGCCGACACCTTTGCCCCCTCCCTCCAAACCGGCCTGACCGGGCCCCCGGGGGAGGGGTTTAGGGAGGGGGAAGCATCTCACACGCCGTGAACCCAAGAGGTTGGCGGATTTCGTGCTGCGGCTGCGGGAGCAAGCTGGACGGCGACAAGCAAGTGTGGAAGGAGCGTTCGGTTTTCGAGGACTGGAACCTGGATGACCCCCCAGCCATCGACCCTGGAGATTTGTCTGCGTACCGTCGCGTGCGCGACGAAATCAAGGTGAAGGTCGAGGAGTTGCTCAAGTTCGCGTGTGAGTAAGTCGTTTTTTCTCTACGAGAGCCATCGTCGATGCCGCCGCACCCTCCACCCGCGGAGGCTCCCACCTGGTTCGCTCGCGTCTGTTAGGCTCCAAAGAGATGCCCGTAGAGCATTGGCCGCGTCGGCTTTCAAAGTACGCACATGCTGCGAGTCAGCTTGCCAGACCGCTCTCGCATATCGCACATGTCGAACAAGTGCCTTTCTCCGCACAGAAGCATGAATTGGGCAGCGATTGGTTTTCTTGAGTCACCTCTTGAGGGTTCGCGAGGGTGTGAGGGCCCTGCGATGTGTGCCCCTTGGGCGCCTGGCGACGGACCGATCCGTGAGGGTCCTGGGCCCCGAAAGACTCCGAAAAGGGTGCCCCAATCATTGTTCGCAAGGTTGTGAGGGCCCTGCGGTGTGCATCCCTTGGGCGCCTGGCGAAGAAGCCGGCCGCGCACCGTCAGCTTCGGGGTGCCAGGGTGGCGTTTGGCGGGGAACGCGGTTCCTGCCAGGCTTGGAACCTCGGAGGGGCCAGACACCCTTGCGCTCCCCGCGTGCGCACCTGTCAGAGGCCAGCAACATATGTACACGTACGCGGTTAGTTTCCCCTGGAGTGCGTGTCAACGCGGACGTTCGTGCAGGCAAGACCGCGGAGGGCGTACATGTACATATGTCGTTGCTCGTCCATGCGCACCTGCCAGACCCATGATGTTTTTTGTTTGCTTTCATAACGTCGACCTCCAAAGGTCTCGACCCACTACCCGGGATCGCTTTTTATCCTGACTCGTTGTTTGACGGCCCCGAGACCCCGTAATGGCCTCCAGAGGCCGAAAACAGCGAAAAACCTTCCGCCATGTTTTTTTGTTCATGACCCCAGGGGGTCCGGGAACCTTTTGATCTCCGCGTGCACGTCCCTGCATCCCTTCACGATGTTGTTGTGTAACGGGTGCCAGGGGGGCTCGTGCGCACGTCGGCCTCCTCTTGTGCGACCTCCAGGGCGACGCCCTTGCCGGTGCTCTTGCAGCCCTCCTTCCCGAGCAGACCAACAGATTACGAGGATGGTGGTGATGAGGAGGAGGACGGTGAGGACGAGTACAGTCGAGCATCTGATCAAGAAACCTCCTCCCGAACATCTGGGCCAGCCGTTCTTAACCAACTTGCCAGACAGCTGGCCCGGTTTCTTGAGTATGATTGCCCCTCCAGCGTTAGCAACATAAGTTGGCCCAGTCTTGAGGAGATGGCTTAGGATGGTGGTGATGAGGCGGAGGACGGCGAGGACGAGAAGGCTAGGGCCACCACGAGGCTTCGCGCTGCGCGGTCTGGGCGATTTCAGAGCGAGGCGCGAGTCCCTCATCCTGTTCTGGGGTGGGGGCGGCGCGACAGCACCAAGATAATCGCGCTTTTCGCTTCGCGGAGCGCGAAGCGCGAAGATGGTTGCCCTAGAGTAGGTGGGGGATTCAGAGAACTCGATCAAAGCGTTGACACAAGAACGTGTGTCAAGAACATGCGCCTCCTCGCCGAAGGCCCGAGGCCCCGTGGAGATGCCCCAAACGCGAAACGCATTTCCGAGGTGGGAAGCCCAGACACGCAGCACAATGGGGAACCCCCTTCGAAGCCAGGGTTGCCCCGAGCCCTCGTTCGAGCGATGGCGAGCACAGTGCATCGGCAGAAGTGGCCCCTGCCCAGCGGTCTCCCCAGGGCTGGCTGGGCGGCGCATGCCCCTCCTGCGCGCTGCCAGGTCGATGCGGGACCCATGGGGGTGCACCCTCTGCCCCGGCGGTTGCCGCACAGCCTGCGCGAGGGCTCGCAGCAACCCTCGAGCGCAGGAGGGGATGCCTCCATGTGGCCGTGGGCCCTTGGGCGAGGGGAGCTCCCGCTCTCGACCTGCGTCCCCGTGGCCGCGTTTGCTCGAAACAACGTGGATCATTCCGGCCCAAGGAGACGAGCAGCATCACGACACTCGGAAGTCGTTCTAGAAGATGGCGGATCCGGGGGCAGAGCCCCACTCCATCTCCGCCGCCTCCTCCACCCGCCCCCTTGATCCGTCTGTGCCCTCCTCGCTCTACTCTGCCTCGTCATTGCCTTCGCCCCCACACTCCTCTGCACAACCTTTGCTCTCGCCCCCCGGCCCCCCACCTCCTGCATTCAAGAGGCTTACCTCATTCCGCCGACCCCCAGAAGAGGCGGGGAGTCCACGGTTGAGGCGTCGTGGGCTTCTTGGCCACTATCTGGTGTCCCTTGTGGGCGTGTTTGGAGCTGTTTGGGGGCCTGGCGGGGCCCCCACCTCCTCTACTTCAACCTCGTCCTGGCCGTGCTTCTCGGCTTTTGCCGCCCGGCATCGGGTGGCCCCCTGGCAACCTCGGGAGGCTGCGGGCGGCTCGTGGGGCGTTCGGCCTCGGGGCCTGTCGGCGTGGGCTGCGCCGCCCGCGCGGGGGGGGGGACGTGGAGGTGGCCTCGCCTCCGGGTTTGGGCCGCGGTGCTGCGCCCGTCTTCCTCTCGGCCCCCTCGCCCAGTCGTCGCTCCGTCGCCATTCGTCGCCGCCCGTCGCTGGGTTGGTCTGCCGCCGCTGCTGTTTTGTGGTCGCCCCGTGGCCCCTCCCTCGCCGCTCGTCGCCGACCGTGGCCGCCGCCCTTCTGGGCTGGTCTGCCGCCCTGGCGGGCATGTTGTCGCCCCGTCGCTGCCCCGTCGCCGCTCGTCACCGCTCGTCGCCGCCCGTCGCCGCGTCGTCGCCGCCCGTCGCCGCCGCCGCCCATACATTCTCCTTTCTAAAAAGATAATAGACTCTACCCCCCCCCCGGCGTTATCCGCCCCACTTTCGGGTATGTACATCATGTATGATTATGACCACATGTCCATCCTAAATATAAATTTGCACTACCCCAGGGGGGGCGGTATCGCTCCCCCGGAGGTTCCCTTGTAAAAAACAGTACGCGGGGACGTTCTTTGTTGTAACATAAGACTGTTTCGCAAATCCCTTGCTAAAAATGAGACGAAGTGCACACGCGCGCGTCGTAGCGCGCGCATGCCGAAATCCTTCAAAAACCTTCGGTGTCGGAAGGATTTCGCAATCGAGTTGCCAAAAAACATACAAACACACAGGGTTTCGCAACACTGATTTGCTACAAAAGCTTACGCGCGAGCTCTTGCGAAATCTTAAGAAAACCATAGGTGTTTCAAGATTTTCACAAAATGCTACCAAACGGGCTTCGCGCGCGCGCACGTCGAAATCTGTCGAACGCCCTTGCGCGTGTGCCGTCGCGAGAATCCTCCGCAACAAATGGGACGAAGTGCAGACGCGCGCGTCGTCGCGCGCGTATGCCGAAGTCCTTCAAAACCCATCGGTTTCGGAAGGATTTCAAAATCGTGTGCCCAAAAAACCTACAATTTATCCCGGCAAAACAACATAACAGCGATGTGTATAAGCATATCTGGAAGCATTCCCCTGAAGATTCAGGTGAGAATCCAGTTGTAGAATTCTGCTGTTCTCGCAGTCGCAGTCTCATTCGCAATGACAATCGCAGTGGCAACGGCCTTAGGATCCAATGGAATCCTAAGGATTCCTTGGGATTCCTAAGGCATCCTTAAGCATCCTTAGGAATCCAATGGAATCCTTAGGAAACCTTAGGAATCCTTAGGAATCCTGATTCCTAGGGATCCCTAGGGATTCCTGAGGATTCCTAGGAAATCCTAAGGATTCCGAAGGAGTCGCCTGCCTCGGCCTCAGCCTCAGCCTGTCTCAGCCTCAGCCTGCCTCAGCCTCAGCCTCAGCCTGTCTCAGCCTCAGCCTGCCTCAGCATCAGCCTCAGCCTCAGCCTCAGCCTGCCTCGCTTGCCTCGGCCTCAGCCTCAGCCTGCCTCGGCCTCAGCCTCAGCCCCAGCCTGCCTCAGCCTCAGCCTCAGCCTGCCTCATCCTCAGCCTGCCTCAGCCTCAGCCTCAGCCTGCCTCAGCCTGCAGCCTCAGCCTCAGCCTGCCTCAGCTCAGCCTCAGCCTGCCTCAGCCTCAGCCTCAGCCTGCCTCGGCCTCAGCCTCAGCCTCAGCCTGCCTCAGCCTCAGCGTCAGCCTCTCAGCCTCAGCCTGCCTCAGCCTCAGCCTCAGCCTCAGCCTCAGCCTCAGCCTCAGCCTGCCTCAGCCTCAGCCTGCATCAGCCTCAGCCTCAGCCTGCCTCAGCCGCAGCTTGCCTCAGCCTCAGCCACTGCCTCAGCCTCAGCCTCAGCCTGCCTCAGCTTCAGCCTCAGCCTCAGCCTGCCTCGGCTTGCCTCAGCCTCAGCCTCAGCCTGCCTCGGCCTCAGCCTCAGCCTCAGCCTGCCTCAGCCTCAGCGTCAGCCTCTCAGCCTCAGCCTGCATCAGCCTCAGCCTCATTCTCAGCCTGCCTCAGGCTCATTCTCAGCCTGTCTCAGCCTCAGCCTGCCTCAGCCTCAACTTCAGCCTGCCTCGGCCTCAGCCTGCGTCAGCCTCAGCCTCAGCATGCCTCAGCCTCAGCCTCAGCCTGTCTCAGCCTCAACCTGCCTCAGCATCAGCCTCAGCCTCAGCCTCAGCCTGCCTCGGCTTGCCTCGGCCTCAGCCTCAGACTGCCTCGGCCTCAGCCTCAGCCTCAGCCTGCCTCAGCCTCAGCCTCAGCCTGCCTCAGCCTCAGCCTGCATCGGCCTCAGCCTCAGCCTGCCTCAGCCGCAGCTTGCCTCAGCCACAGCCTCAGCTTCAGCCTCAGCCTGCCTCAGCTTCAGCCTCAGCCTCAGCCTGCCTCGGCTTGCCTCAGCCTCAGCCTCAGCCTGCCTCAGCCTCAGCCTCAGCCTCAGCCTCAGCCTCAGCCTGCATCAGCCTCAACCTCAGCCTCAGCCTGCCTCAGCCTCAGCCTCAGCCTGCCTCAGCCTCAGCCTCAGCCTGCCTCAGCCTCAACTTCAGCCTGCCTCGGCGTGCCTCAGCCTCAGCCTCAGCCTGCCTCGGCCTCAGCCAGCCTCGGCCTCAGCCTGCCTCAGCTCGGGCATTCAAGATATGGCACAGGACTTGTGTTCTGGGAACACGAAGATAACGAATTGGCCTACAGCTGGCTCCGGGCAATCAACATATGGTACAGGAGTGGTGTTCTGGGACGACGAAGTACACGAAGTGGCCTACAGCTGGCTCCGGGCATTCAAAATGTGGCCCGGGAATAATGTTCTGGGAACACGAAGAACACGAAGTGGCCTACAGTTGCCTCCGGGCATTCAAACTGCGGCCTGGGAATAGTGTTCT